GTAAAAGGGGTAAATTAAGCCCAAGGTATATTGGTCCCTTTGAAGTACTTAAGCGAGTAGGGGAGGTGGCTTAGGAGTTAGCCTTGCCTCCAGGGCTGTCCGGAGTGCATCCGGTATTTCATGTGTCTATGTTGAAAAGATACCATGGGGATGGAAACCACATCATTCGTTGGGATTCAGTTCTTCTTGATGAAAATTTGTCTTATGAGGAGGAGCCTGTTGCCATTTTAGATAGAGAAGCTCGCAAGTAGAGGTCAAGGGAGATTGCATCCATCAAAGTTCAATGGAAGAATCGACCCGTTGAAGAAGCCACTTGGTAGAAAGAGGATGATATGCAAGAAAGATACCCACACCTGTTTACAGATTCAGATACTTCTTTTCGCCCTTGTTTTTCTTTTATGATCGTTCGAGGACGAACAATGGGTAAATTGGTATCTTTTCTAACGACCTGTTTAGTCGTATTGAGCAACAAATGTTATTTCTGGAAAACTGGCTAAGACGACGGATCCCACGACGGACCGTAATGGGCACGACGGACCGTCGAGGGGGTCTCGTTTCAAAACACTTAGAAATTCTTAAAAAGGGTATTGAAATCGACTCTCTGAACTTCGTAACGGAATGGCAGGACGGACCGTCACAGGCGTGACGGACCGTCAAAGACTCTTCAGAGAATTGAGTCTCTGAACTCTGTGACGGAGCAGCAGGACGGACCGTCGTAGGCACGACGGCCCGTCACAAGCTGCGTAATCCCAGGCGAGGTCAGATTTCTTTAAATGTTTTAAGGGACGTTTTGGACTATTCCTGCTATAATTATAAATTTAGTGGGTTAATGTTAATAATTTAACTACTTGAGGATTAAAAGAGAACCTTGAATTGATTAATGGGTTAATTCACCATCTTTTATATATGCTAATTAGGGTAAAAGAAAGAGGGTTTGAATAAGAAAAAGAAAAGAACAGAAAGAGAGAGAAAGAGGGGATCGAACGAGAAAGAGGAGAAATGGGAAGAATAACAGAGCTTTGGGAAATTGCTTGCTTGATCAAAATTCTTCGGTGGAGGTAAGTTATGGTTTTTATGCTACTTGTAGTAAACTCTTAATAGCGAATGATATGTATTGGGTAGTGTTGTAAACCCTTCTATATACTTAATTGTATGTTTGCATGAATGTGATTATATAATTGTGATAAAATAAGCATGATGAAGCTATTGAATCCTAAATCTTGAAAAACAAACCCTAATCTACTTTCTTAATGATGATGCCTTGGTATAAAAGAAGTCTTGATGAACGAAAGTAGTGAAATTAGGGGATCGGGAGCCACGTTCTGGTACCAGGATAGTATATGAGGACCGGAGTGTCACGTTCCAACACCAGGATATTATATGGATCAGGTGCCACGTTCTGGTACCAGGATAGTTTATGAGGATCGGAGTGTCACGTTCCGACACCAGGATAGTATATGGATCGGGTGCCACGTTCCGGTACCAGGATATTATATGAGGATCGGAGTGTCACGTTCCGACACTAGGATAGTATATGGATCGGGTGCCACGTTCCGGTACAAGGATAGTATATGAGGATCAGAGTGCCATGTTCTGGCACCATGATTAGCAAAGAGAATGATCAGAGTGCCATGTTCTGGCACCATGATTCCCAAATGAGTATGATGGGGAGGCGTGAGTCCTCATTGATGAGCCTTGTGTTGCGACCAAGGGATCGGTAATTGTAAATGCCGCATGTTGAGTATTGTAGTTGATTTTATGATATTATCTGATATATACTATTTTCTATTTTGAGTTGGCCGATGATATCTACTCAGTACCTGTGTTTTGTACCGACCCCTACTTGTATGTTTTCTTTTTGATTATTTGTGGAGTGCAGCAAATGGCCGTCGTCTTCAACTCAACCGCAACTCTAGCCAGTCTTTATTACTCCGGATTTCAGGGTGAGCTAATACTTTTAGCTTGGACTTGATCTTTCTCTTCATGTCTTGATGCCTTGAAGTTCCGGCAGGGACTAGCTGTTTATGTATTTTAGCTTCTTAGATACTCTTACATTTAGTAATTTGAAGTAGATGTTCTTGTGATGATGACTTCCAGATTTTGGGAATAATAATAGTTGTTGAGTTTTTAGAAGTCATTGAATTGGTTTTTATTAATGAGTTTAAGTCTTCCGCATTACTTTCTGTTGATATTATATTGGTAAACGATTGGGGTTAGATTGGTTGGTTCACTCACATAGGAGGGTAAGTGTGGGTGCCAGTCGGGGCCGGATTTGGGTTGTGACAGTTTAAGAAAACTACTTATGTGATTTTTAATTAGTTAATTGTTTACTGATTGTTGCAATTATAAATTAATACTTTGTTCATTTATATTTACCGAATTAAATAATTATTATATCTTATTTAGTAGTAAATATAATTTGAGTGAGAAGTGCGGTGATATGACATGAAAATATTATAAATCAAGAAATGTGTGATTCTTAAATTATGCACTTATTTTAAAAAAATATGCCAATAGATTTGAGAGAGTTGATACAACTCTATTCTTTTGTAAATGCAAGAACTAGTAATCATTTGAATGACTAACTAACTAGCTAGCTAAGATTACTAGTCAATTTAATTACTATTTATCACCTCAGAAAGACATATAATCATAGGACATTTTATATTTAAATGTATCATAAAATTGGTTACTCTTTTAGATAGGAGGTTCATTCAAGAGATTCTATTACTTTTATGAGAACTTTGAAACTCTTTACGATTCGTAGATTGTCTTTGAGGACTTATAAAAAATTTTAAGACTTCAATACTAACTATGATCTATTTACATTTAGTTATTACCATTAGGGACTGCAATTTTAATACCTAACATGTCATTAGTAAGAACAAATCCTCAAACTAAGATAATTAGTTTCTTACCTTATGCCTTGTGAAGAATGTTTTTTATATATCTAATGCTAGGTATGGGATACCACTTTGAAAATATATTAGCAAGTTAGGTAATGAATTCTCAGAAAAGGTACACTTATATTCAAGTAATGGAGAGCATTTCCAATTTTTGAAACATAAATGGCTTGGTTGAAATACCTTATCCCGGTTTATTTGATATGGAACATTACAAGGTCTTCTAAAATGCAAAATGAAAATGGAGAAACAACATCTGAATGTACATCTTAAATGAGATTCTAAAGCCTAGGTGTTAGAGGTCTTGCTGAAATTGATAGCCAACATCGATGCAATTATTCCTTACAGAATGATATACACAAGAAAAGAAAATGTCTATGTCAAAGAATGCCATGGACAGATTGGAAACAAAGATCAATTTATATACTATTGGCCCTAGAAATTGATTTAGAGAACGCTTTCTAGTAAGAACAGGGGCTTTAGTTTGTTAGAACATAACAATGTCAATCTTACTATAGCTAGCCTAAACATGAAAGGATATTAGTTGGTTACCGATTTTGTCTATATAATTGTCATATGAAACAAACAACCACCTTTTCCTACATTATCTAGAAGCTTTTGACATCTGGAGTTTATTTTAATCATTTTTGGATTGAGATGGGTTGCCGCAGAATTTGATAGAAGCATTTGTGAGTTTGAGTCGCTGGAAAGTTTACAAGACCATCAAGAAGATGTTGTTGATGATTCGTGATGGTATTTCTTGGGAGCCTTCAGAATGAGAGAAACACAAAGTTTTCGGATAAAATAAAAAGATCACTAGGACTGAAGACAAATTAACTAGGAAAAAAGACAAGTTCAATTATACATATGGATATATAGACTAATGTTACCATATTTTTTATAAATAAAATAGCCTACAATCCATTTCAAATCAATCCTCTCCGATTAAAAAGTGTTAACATAGATTTCCAATCAAAAACCAAATTACAATCAAAAACCGATTTGGTACATAAATATATGCTTTCCTCTTCACAACCATTTTCACAAAAATTGTTCCCTTTCAACTTCTTATCATAAATTATAGGTGAGAAGAGCAATGATGGATAAGATACTCATTTTTTCATGTTGAATTCTAGAACAAGTAACGAGCAAATGTATGGAAAACAATAAAGTGTTATAACAAACAACATTTATCATGACCATAATGTTGAATGATTAATAAATCAAAGGAAGTGAATTTCTCTAAACTAGGAATTTATAAAAGCACAAAACTAGCAAATCACTATAACTTTACTCTTCAACTTGGATTATGACATACTAAACGTATTGATTAGTTATTTCCTTTATATTTATTCGGCACAACTCGTATCTCATATTACTTCAGTTACACCATTATCAAAGAAACAATCAACACTAAACACATCATATTTTTCACATTTAAAAATTAAACTATGTCTATCATGGAGACATATGGATGTTTTATCCACAGTGAGCGTAAAAACCAACACCAATCCATAAGTAAAAAAATTTAAATGCATAAGATGTAACAAATAATAAAATTTATTAATATATGTTCATAAGTAGAAATTTACCTTGATGAATAGAACACTCTGAGAATCTATATAAGTAGAAATTGACAAGAGGAATACAACCAAATGACCAAGCTTGATGAACAAAGAGTGTTGAGTAGTGATGACGAAAGGTTGTCTTTCTTCATTTGACACGTTCCCCTGTTGAATAAATTTTCAACTTCTAAGAAATTCCTTCTAAATATATTGTCATTAACTAAAGAAGATTTTTTAAAGATCATATTACTATAAAGTTGCAACTACACACCTAAGGACCCTTAACAATACGTCACCACCTATGTGTAGTAGCTAAAGTAGCAGTTCAACATGTAAAGCAACAGGTTAGGAGATAAAGCAACTTGTTAAAATGTAAAGCAGGAGGTTAGTCAAACATCTAACAACACTTTCTGGTAACAACTAAAAAGACAACACTAGAGATGAACCAAAACATTTTATCATATGCTAAAGCAGGCCAACAATATGTGATAAACTTTATTTAAAAAATATTATTTGTAAGCACTAACAGAAGATATCAAGTTATGACAATAATATAAGTTTCAACATTCCATCGGCTAAGACATAAACAGGTACACCTTATGCAATAGATAAGAATACTAGTAAACCATCTAACAAAAGTATTGTGGATGTTGTAGGGGAGACTAAAAATCGATGGATCAACATTGTTTTACTTATCAATTCTAATGATAGATACAAAATAGTGGAGAAGGATTTTGAATAGTGATTTTTTACTGATTTCGTGACGACCAACAACTAAGTATTAAAGTTCATATTAAAGTCTATAATATTTCAATTTTTCTTCTCCTCTTGTCCTGCAACACTTGTAAATATCTTATCAATGCCTAAAAATGAAAATTTAACAATTTTTGTTCATAACAGTTTACTATTCGTATTATTTGCCATTATTTATTAACTTAAACATTCCTTAGTAACCAACTTACACTCACTTCTAATTGAAATTTATGGTACACAAGTTATTGATACTTTTCAAGATTCTACTCATTGTGTGGCTCCCATTCTGCATGAATATAAGTGGATACTCTATCAACTATCTAACTCATTAAACGTAGGCAAATTGGACAACTTGCACAAACAAAAAAGTAAGGATGGTGAAAATATTAATGAGACTAATATATACGTAAGTTCAAGAACACATAAAGAAAAAAAACTAAAAAAACCCAGATGAAACCCATAATTAGGAAAACCCTAAAATTGAGAGAAAAAATGACTAATATATACGTAAGTTCAAGAACACCAAAAGAAAAAAAATACCAAAATTGAACCCATTATTGGGAAAACCCTAAAATTGAGAGGGAAAATATCTCCCATAATCAAGCATTCCACAAAGATATTCATAGTTATATTAATCAAATCATACCTTTTAGAGATGAAAACACCAAGATAAGGTCTAATAGTTGCAATTTAAGCAAAGTCAAACCAAGTCGAAAAAGAAAAATATGACTTTGTTGGTCTGCAATAAAATAAAACCAATGAAGATCATATCTTTATAGCTTCTACAAGAGAAACTGTGCTTTATATATGCTAATTTCTCTAACAAACCTTGGAGAGACGCACAAATTGGACTCTACTTAGCTGATTTCACTCAAAGAGAACATGGGAGAGAAGGGTCTTGCGGATTTCCTGCAATAATTCAAGATTTTTCTCCAACCATCGCTATTGACTGTGAAAATCTAAGAGTCGTGTCACCAAGAGCCTTATGTTCAATTCATAGAGAAAAGATGGAGTGAAGACATTTTTGTGTTCACGTTTTCTGTTTTTGAGATGTGGGTGGAGTGTTTTTGTTGAAAAAAACAAGAACAACAATTAAATTAAAATTTAAGCAATTCTTTTAGTATATAAATCATTGGATACTAATTATTTTAATGTCTGTATATATTTATTACAATGCTAGTATGAAATAAAAATGGATCTTTAATGGCGGAAAAATAATAGTGTTGCTATAAATAAACTTTTAACGATTGGAATCATATTCCTTCGTCAAGAATTGGTCGTTAAAAACACAGTTTCTTTAAGTGTAGTAGAATAGGATTCTATATACACATGCCACTAGTGGGCTTTGAGGTACTAGAGTTGGTTCCCTAGGTCTTCCAAGACCATTATGTCAAGTCCCATTAAATGTATGAATGTCTCCTTTTGTATATCTAGTAATGAAGGTTGACCTTGTGGGTTGTGTGGGAAATGAAATATTCTTACTTAGGGTAGTCTTTAGGATCATCTAGGTGTTTAGCTACTTCATGTATTACTTACATGAGTCTTAGAAAACCTTATGTAGAGGTCTAAAAGGTTTAATTCGTTAGTTAAATAATATTGTCATATCTTGTGAATTTTTGGAGTATTATGTTGTATGTTGATGATTGACTAGTATGATATATGTTGTTCCTTCTTTATGATATTTTATAAAAATAGCATGAAAAGCATATTTCAACTTATATTTCCCTTTTCACATGATTTCTTTCATGGACATCATACTTAGTGCTTTATTGTACCAATTCCATATTTTTCTCGATTTTTACAAGTGTAGGTGGTGGCAAGTGATAATCCATAGAATTGAAGCTCTGGAAGAAGGATTCTCTCAAGATTGGGTATGTCCTCGTATGTTTGAGGACAAGGACTAATTTTTCTAGTTTTATTTCATATAAGACTTATTATTAGACATAAGTTTCATTTAAATGTAAGGGTCGTGTCACTATGTTTATGATTCTTAACGTTTGAGTTTTCTTTGGCATATGTGAGACTAGATTTCTTCTTGCTTAGAAAGACTTCTTCTAATAAAAGAGTTCGCTCTGAAGCCCTATTATTTACTTAGAAGGTTTTATATTTCCACACTATTTTACTTCTAGGAGATACTTTTCGATTATTATATACTTGGTATAAGATTCTAGGCTATAGTACGATAGATGTTTCACTTTCGTTATTACTCTAGTGTTGTCACATATAGTTGAGTTCCCTTATATTGTGTTTATAGGATATGAATACAAGAGAGAATCCCGCAAAAAGAGTTGAAAAACGAGTAGTTAATGAAGAAGTTCCTCCCCGAGGAGAACAAGTATATATAGTTAATCAAAAGAATGAGGTTCCTGTGGTTCCCCAAGATATGACTCATGATGAGGTTAGAGGAGTCTTTTTACCGAATCCCAAGCCATGATGGCTCAAGTAAAAAAAAGATGTGGGGCCTAGGTTGAATTCTCTTTAGAGTACCATGACCTTTTAGTTTAAGGACTTTGTGAGGATGAGTCCTCTTACTTTTCATGGATCTAAGGTGGGAGAGGATCCCCAAGTATTCTTGGATGAGGTTTATAAGAAAGTTTATACTATGGATATATATTCTAGTGAGAAGCCGAAGTTGGCTTAATACAAATTGAAAGAGGTTTCTCATGTATGGTACATATAATGAAAGGAAAATATGCCAGTTGAATTCGGTCCTATAGAGTGGGATGAGTTTAACAAAAGCATTCTTAGGGATGTGCTTTCCTCATGAGAAGAAGTAGGTTAAGATCAAGGAGTTAATAATCATTAGACAAGGTAATATGATTTTGGAGGAGTATTCCTTGAAATTTACCTTGTTGTGTAAAGATGCTCCATCTTTGGTGTCTAACCCTAGAGATGAATTGAGTAAGTTCTTGATCGGTATTTTTGAACTTGTGAGGGAAGAGTGTCGTACCAAAATTCTCAATGATAACATGAATCTATCTAGGCTTATCATGTATTATAAATCCATTGAAGACTCTTAGCTTAACAGGGGGAATAAAGATGTTAAAAGGGGAAGAACCGATCAGCAAGGTATACCTAGGTTTAAGAATAGGTCTCTCAATCAACATGTTCTTTGTGCTCCTAAGGCTAACTATGATATAGGTGGTGGTTCCTAACTTTAAAAACCTATTTGCTCAATTTATGGGAAGAAATATTTTGAGAATTTTCTAGCCAGTACGAGTTGGTGCTATGGTTGTGGGAAGAATGATCACTAGGTGAGATATAGTCCTACTATTACCACTACAGGAAGAGTTTTCAAGCAAGCTCCTTATGATGGTCTTGTTGTTGGTGAACAAAAGAAGAAACATTTTTATGTACTTCAAGCTATTAGGGAATTAAATCCAGATAAACGTACCGGTAGGTTAGACTTTTCCTTATGTGTTGTGATGGGTTCCTTCTATGTGGGGGATCATGGTAATGTAGTGGGGATGATGGGATTTTGTATCTTTTCTCCTATTCTATTCAAGCTATAGATTTAGAATTTCCTACTAGCATGTTGCATATTTGTGGGAGTCTTTGTAGAAATGAGTCTACTTCATACCTTTAAAATATTGTATGTTGTTATGTCTTTATAACAAATTGCAAAAATGTTGCATGAGCTGATTTATGAACATGCTTAAATTTGATCTTTAAAAGGTTGAATAAATGCTCTTTTATGAGAAATTTGTATGATGTGCTTAATTATGTAGTAGTGGCATGCTATAATCTGGAGAAGAAAGTTCCTCCAAGAAGTCAAATGACAAATAATGATTCTTAATGCATCATGAGCTTGTAGATCTTTTTCCTACCTTCTTGTTGTGTTTTGAGTCTATATGTTTCAAGTTGATATCTCATCTACCATGATATATTAAATGAAATTGTTGAATGTATGATTGTAAACTGATAATTTTGATTATTTACCTCTTGAAAGTGTTGTAAGTATGTTAGTGTCATTCGAGGGCAAAAGTTTCCAAGTGGGGGAGAATGTTACAAATCTCAAAATAAACTAGGAAGAACAAGAGTTTCACATGAATTTCTTGATTTAGTAACTTTATAAATTAATGTGAAAAAGTATCCAAGGGCTGGAATGAGGGGCATTTAGGTCAAACGTCAAAGAACGACCAAGATGTCTGTAAACTAGTCTTTGGATGTGCTAGTATGTTCTTGTATAATGTATGTGATTTTTTGTGTCATTTCGAATATAAAATGATAGGAGGATACCCTAGTTTTTAGAAGGTTTTGTTTATGGATAAAATGACTGGGTAAGACTCCCCAAGGACAATCCTACAGGTTCTTGAAAAGGAACATAAGTTAAATCCCAAAACTTCAAAAGTTTGCATAACAAATGGCGATGACCCACGGCCAGTAGGTCAAATGATAGGGCATAAGTGGACTCCGTTTGTAGAGACATAGACTAGGGAGACTTACATCCCATGTAAAAGTCTCTGGGCATACCTACGACTAGAAGGAACGGTCGTCAACCCACCTACGATCCGTAAGTGGGGATTGTAAGTTGTACACTACAATTCCATCTTGCAATCGCCCAAGCAAAGGGTGATTTGGTAAATTCGACCCTTGGAAAATTAAATGTATGAACAATTATTTTAGATTTTGCGTATTTTAAGTTAAATTAAACTATAAAACCTAGAATTAAACACTTTTCTTCAAAACTCTTAACACTTCCCTCCCAAAAGTTCTCTCAAAACTCCATGGAAGCTTAAGGTGTCACGACCCAAAAGCACCCCCTAGAAGTTAGGGAAACCCTTGAATCGTGGCAAGGCGTACTTGACCGTTTGGGGTGTTGTACAAGCCCTTTAACTAGCATTCATTACCTAAGACATAGAATGAAGTTCGGAATTGAAACTTTTCATGAACAAATTAATAAAAAGGAAATAATTTATAGATACTTAAGAAATCTCATCTTCACGAGCCAATCATAAAGACACAACATAATCAACTTAGGGACACACCCCTTTACATTTGAAAGAAATAATACAATAATTCTTAACTTAAGGAAAGTAAGAAGATAGAAATTATGCCCTCGAATATATGAGGACACACTTTGTCTTGGGAGAAACTTTCCCAAGCTTTGCCTTCTAGACTTCAACTTTGGTTTCAACCTATATATAGATAGTATAGAAAAGAATGGGGTTAGGACAAATAATGTACTAACAATGGCATATGCAAAAACATCTGAATAGGGACATTTTAGTAAAATACCATTAAATGAGAACTAAGCAAAAAATTCATCAATTTAGAAGCAAAACATAATAAGAACCATTATTTTACACTTGGATAAGAGATTCTATAATTTTAAACTGAAAGAGACCATCTACATTAAAATTCAAAAAACATACAGTGAACTCCAACTAACATTACAGTGAACTATTAAGACTCCAAAATGGTTAAACTTTCAAAGCATTGCCAATGATGAATAAGCATCATTTCCGTAGGAGTTTCCCTTCAAAGGTCATCCTAAGACTCACTAAGGTAAGACATGAAGGAAGTACACATATACATCCTTTAAGAGACACCAAAGCGACCCTCAAGACTTCCGTCTTTTAGGGATACTCACCTCGGCATAATAAGAATCAACCCAATGGCAATACAATAAAAGAACACCCAACAAACCACCAAAATCTTCCCTTTCAGAATGCCTACTTAGTGCAATGAGTAGATAGCGTAACATAACACCACCTACCCTAAGTAGCACATTCTTTTAGAAGGTTTGTCACTAAGTCTTCCCCTTAAGAATGTCCTACATAGTACAAATAAGTACATAGCATCCCATACCACTACCTACCATAAGTAGCACATTCTTTCAAAAGACATAGTTAAATAAATTCACATAAAACTCATCAAGACTACCCTTTCGGAAGGTCCAACTTAGTGCAATGGATAAATAGTGTGTTATATCACTACCTACCCTAAGTAGCACATTCTTTTAGGGGACTAATACTTTTATTACTTTTGTGGGAATTAGGTTAATTGACACAGAACATGAGAGCTAGACATGGAATCCCGAT